TTCTCCATCAGGTCTGTGACTATCACCTTGTCTTTTCACTCTCAAGACCTGAGACTGTCAAGACTGTTGGTAGTTCTAGAGGTTGCTTCCCCTCTCTGAAGGAGTTCAGCAGAATTTGCCAGCTGGTTTGCTTTGGCTACACACAAAACATGAATAAGACCCAAAACCTCAATATCCATCACCTCTTGAGGTTGCAAAAACCCAGCGGACCCACAGTTAGGCCCGAAATATGTTAACGGCAACTAAACCGTGCGCTATCTATCTTGAGCTCTGTTCTCATTCCACCGTCTTTTTTCACGTCTCCTCTACACGCGCATACTTTGTTTGTGACTGCATGGTTTTGTTACTAATGGAACAACTATGTTTAAGGAACATCCACCAGCAAAAATGTCAAAAAGCCCTGTAAAAGAGGGCGAAACAGCCCTCATCTTTTCCAGACAGGAGGTCGTGACGGAAGGTGAAGCTCTTTAAGAACTCACTTGCCAAGCTATACTAGATATTTTCCAGGACCTACCCCAGCTCCATGGGCAACTGAATGAATAACTCAGGAAGGCTCTTTTCCAAAAATTTCTCACTTGTAAAACTGCAGAGAGGGCCATGCAGTGTTACTTTAGTCATTTTAATCTCATTTTACTTCAATGCACTCTATTGCCCCGAGAATTTTTGCTTCGGTGTTACCTTTGCAGCAGTCTAAAGACCTAACAAAAACAACACTCACTGGGACTTAAATAGAAGCCCCCCCAAAAAAAAAAACTGTGTCTGCCTATTTTACAATACCATATATGCCTAAATTTATCTCCTGCTCTTAAAAGATGGAACTGCAAGTGAGACACAGACTTTTCCTTCTTCTCCAGACTCGAAGTGAACCTCTGTGATATCCAAAGGCTATTGTGGGAAACTAATTCAAGATACCATCTCCCTTTTCTATTTTTCAAATGAGCACACATCAAAAATTTGAGAGAGCAGCAGTTTATCAATGCTTTGCCCAGTTCTAGTTTTAATGTCTCTATGCAATCACCATTTCAAGGATTCACCACACAACCAGGCAAATTCTCCCCAGGCAGAGGGTGCCTCGTGCTGTAATCTCTCAGCTTCAGTAAAGTCCCTTTGGCTGGCGCTGAGTCTCCCAAGGGAGGAAGCCCTTATGACTCACTAAAAGTAGTTTGAAAATACTTGGAAGAGAGAATTGCGGACAACGCTACGGGGAACGATGTGCTGCAGAGAGACCCTATCCGACATCCTCTTTTGGAGCCAGGACTTGCCCAATTGCTCATCCCCCTGGGTCTTTGCTGAGAGCCTCGGAAAAGCTACGCACAGGAAGGCAAGCAGGAGCTCCAGCCCATTAAAAATTAAAATAAGGGAAATGGTTTCAATTGATTAACGATAAACGATTTGCTCACTCTAAAATCCTTCCACTTATATTACCAACCTCTGACTTTGAGGGACCTAATGGCCCCTTGCCGTGTCTCTTTGCATGGCATGCAACAACCTCCTCGCCTCCAAACCTAATATCCTTAACTGTTTTATGCAACAGACTAAGAATCTTGGAGCTTTAGAGCTTAATTCTTGATAGATTTGTCAATATCAAGGAATTGAAAGGAGGTCTGATGATCTCTAGGTGTTGATCATCTGAGAAGGAAGCATCCGAGGAATGCGCTGTGACAGCACAGGAATCTGCTGTGAGCGGATCAGTAATAGACTAAATTACCCGGCATCCCAAGCAATCCTTTCCTTTCATTAGTTTAAAAGTACTCCTCAACCTCAGCATCACTTTTTGCCCCTGACACTTAAAGACAAGAAAATGATTCTTCTCTGGAGGTCTCAAGCAATTGCAGCCATAGGTGAAGCCGAATTTTTATTTATTTCACTACGCGGTGTCAGATCAATAACTCTTTGGACACTGGCGGATGATGAGCTCATGTCTAGATGAAGGCAACCTGGCAGGAACTGAATTCCCAGAAAACCTGGCCAAAGAGGGAGCGGGAGTGGGGTGGAAACTCCAGCGGGGGCCTTATCCAGCCTCCCCATGAAGGGAAAGGCGCTTTTCTTCTTCTTCTTCTTCCTTTTTTTTTTTTTTTTTTTTTGAGAAGCAGCTTGTGAGTGGTAGAGCAAAGAAAGGGCCGGTGTTATGGGGCTGAAACTGGGAAAATTAGAGGTTCATGCTGGGTTTTCCTTACGACAAATGTCTCTGTGGGGAAACAAAACAGCTGAGCAGAAACCTAACTATACCCCAATAACTCGTGCTAAACCTTAGGCCCCACTGCCATCTTGTGGCAGACCCCTTCCAAAACAACGGGAAAGAGAAGAATACCCAGCACAAAGTTGAGGACAGAGTCCGCTGGTTCCTCAAAGTCATAAGTTATCAGGAACGCGGTTGAGAACACATCAGTTCTGCCCTAGGAGATGCTAATCCTGCACCCACAGCATTGCCTTTGTGAAGAAGCAGGGCAGAAGAGGATGCATGTTGTCCAAAAAGCTTTTCGCCAAGTTAAGGGCACACTTGCAAACTTAAAGAAGCTCATGCTGCCCCAGCTTACTTTTAGTGGTTAATGCATATCTATACAACGCTACCATTTATTGATCCTATCGAGGCAGTTTCCAAAGAAACCTGATGCTACGTCAGTGCCACCAACGCTCCTCAATCCCACTAAGCCACGTTAAGCTGGAATTAGGCAGCGCATCCCCAAATTACATAACATTTTTAGATGCTGAGAGCTGTAGATGAGCACCTCTCAGATGAATTTTAAGAAATTTTCACACCTCTTTGGTACTTTATGGAGTTGCAGCATCCTGGCTCTTTGGAAAGGCTTTGATTTATACATGGGAATAGCTGCATGTCTGTGGCCATTTACGTGCTTTCCTTTCCTCTGATAAATTTTAGTCCTCTGAAAGAATAAACAATCAAAACCACACTTGCAGATGAAAGGTAGCACTTCTTCCAACATCTTTCTATTTTATGAGGCTTTTTTCGGGTCTTTGCAACTCCAGCCCCAGTATATATTGCAGGAATGTATTTAGCTGTCAGAGTTTAGCTACCTCGAGTTTCTCTAGTGCCATTTACTAGCATTGACTGAGGTTTAAATATGTTAGCACACTTTGCAGTCAAGTTGAACTAAACATTCAAGTCAACTGGAGTTAGTAGCAGAATTAAACATGTTGCACATAATTATAAATATGTTTTCAGATCAAAATAAATATTTAAAATAGGATCCAGGCACACATACCTAGATAGAATGTTTCCATCAGCTCTAATTTGAAAACTAAATGGGATGAAATGTCACACTGGATTTTTCCGTAAGGGAATTCGCCCCTGGGTTTTCCAGAAGAGGGATGTTTTACACTTCCCAAGCCACTCGCAGGCCTGAAGAGCCATGGGATAAACAGTTTAGACAATGTTATCTGCTGCTAAAGCCCAGGCATGAGGTGTTTGGGGAACTGATTGTAGCTCCCTCCACAAGGCCGGAGCTGGCTGTGATGGAAGTGGATTGAATGGACCTCAAAGATACGCTCAGAGGTATCCCCAGATCGGCTTGGTCACCATTGGTGTGGCTACCAAGAGCTAAGCCAAGGTACAGGAGCGGTTGTAGGCAACCCTATAGTGACTCTATGGTCCTCATCACCCCGAATGTTGCAAGGGAGGGCAGTGGTTGGCAGTGGAGGCTTGGGCTGACAGTCACCTTGGGAAGAGCAGCGGGACGGACAGGAGAAACCCAGAGCCAAGGCTCTTTTCCTGCCGTGACATGTGGCCTTTGCAACGACACCAAGGGATGTGCTAAGATGGGGAGGAACGAATTGCTCTGCAGGGATCACACAATTTGCTTGGCGCAGTGGGTTATTTCATCAGATCCACCCAGATAATTACAGGAAAAAAATAAATATATACACACACATATAAAATCAGAACTGAATGGCTCATCAATCTTTAGAGGAAAAGTAGTGTTGTTCAACAAAGCACTGGGAATGACCGACAAAGGAAGAGCCTTAAGTGACAGCAGCTCTATTTTGGGAGAGACACAAATCCAAACTCAAACACACCCGGGTGAAAAGCAGGATTATTTATAAGTGTTTTTTTTTTAAGCTTTTTTTTTCTTTTTGTCCAAACCAAAAACTACGCGCAGAGGAAACCAAGACCTCCGTGCACTGCCTGCTCCGTGAGCAGCAGCGCTGCGACTACTGCCGAAACGGGCCGGCCACGCGTGGAGTCAGGCGCTGCCGGCAACTTTCCTGCCCACACGTTAGCAGAGCCCCACGGGGACGTAACGGCGCCACTTTTCCCACGATACGCTCTGAGAATACACATGCTCAAGGGACAGCCAGCATCCTGGCAGTAGTTAGGAGCTCCCCGCAAAAAGTAATAAAAAAGGAAATGAAGAAACGTCAGTGGGTGCTGTCTGCTCCACGCCAGATAAATCAGTGCAACGCACTCAAGTATCCGGGTGGAGGAGCAGCGGCTTCGGCTTGTTCAGAGCTGGCAGAGATTTCGGGACAGCCAAAAGACGGAGATTTTTCCGGGGGGGTTAGGGAGTGGAGGAGGGGGAAGGCGCGGTGTTGGGTGGGAAGGACAGCAATGCCAGCAGCCTCTGCTGGAGCTTGGGGAGGGGGATAACGGGAGCTGCTGGAAAAGAGAGGAGGGTAAAAGTAAAAATTAGAAAAGAGGCCGAGCGGAGCCTCCGCAAACCAGCTCGGCGGAGGCGGCTGCAAACTTTGCACCGGGGGGCCCCGCGGGGGCGGGGGGGCCGGGCG